GTATACGTTGTAATATTTTGGCATGATTTAAAAATGGATTATTCACCTAGGATACCTAATAGGCAATTTTTTGGGGGGTTGTGAAATCTTGGAGTGCCTGTCATGTCTGTTTCAGGTTCAGAACGGCGTGTTCACTCTGGAGCTGGGTGTGGACGAGGTGTACACTCTGACAACTCTTAGAGATGGACAGAAAGGGTCTTACCCCGAGCCCCCCAAGCCTTGGCCCTTCCCACGAAACTACAAGGACAACTTTAATGTCCGTAAGTGAGCAGCATGTAGACCGTTGGATGACGTGTGCCTTTTTGTTATTGGGCTCCTCCTCAAATGTATGAATTTAAAGCGTAACTCTACCCTTCTTGACACGTTTCCTACTTTTCTATCCCGAAAACCGTTTTTAAAAATGTAATATATTTTTTTGAAAAGAAATACTTTGGTTAAGAAAAAACAAAAAAAAACCCAGCCCAATATATACCCCAATTTTTTGTAAATATGAAGGAGGATGTCATGCGAGTAAATAGATACCCAACATGTCAACGTTTTAAAATTGTGCACGCTCATGAGTGAGGCTTTTAAAATTTCTACAGGTTACCAGTGTTAAAGTTACAGAGGAGGATCTAGTGTGAGAATTATTGCTCTCTTGCTCCGTTTCGTTGGTGGATATCTCACGTGTGTGGTTTTAACAGTTTACATACAGTATGAGGGCATGGCCTAACGTATGCGTTCACCACTGTGCGAGGACCAGGGGCAACTTTAAATTTGTGGGTTTTTTTTTTTTTTCTTCAGTTCATTTTAATTTTTTTTTTTTCTTTTTTTTTTTCACTTTCTTTAAAAAAAATGTAATCACTTTTTATTCCTATCCTAAGGAATTAATGCATCCCTTTGTGATAGAAATAATTAGTGACAGGTCCTCTTTATGGAGAGATATGGGACCAATAAGAACCCCCCACATCTCTCCTCTGCAATGAAAAGCATTGGATAAGAAAAAAAAAAAAATCATTGATCTAGTGCTTTAAAAAAAAAAAAAAAAAAAAAAAAGGGGGCCTTGTTTACAAAGAGGCACCGAAACCGGAAGTGACATCACACCCCGGTCCTCCAAGGGCATAGAGATGAGTGGAGGCCATCTTTCCTCCACTTATCTCTATGCCCTGAGCCTCGGCCGGGATCGTTCGGTGGCTCCTCAGGTAAGGCTGAGAACTACCGAGCGGGTGACGGAGGGGGCGGGGTTTATTTCCATTCGACCGACGGCCAATAGGGATATTTTTTTAGCCACCAAAATTTCATTGCACCCTAGTTTCGTTAGCATCCGTTCATTAAAGCAGGAGAGGGCGGACCTAGCGGTCCAGTCATCCAGGAGGAGTCTCCCGATGACATTCCAGAAGATGATGGCAGCGCGAGACCTGAGTGCCAGCTACGGAGAAGGGGATCTCAGGTGGGACAACGCTGGATCCACTGGGTTGGTGAGTATCCTTCCTGAGCAGAACACCGCTACAGGTAAGGTGGGGGGGGTGGGGGGGGGGGGGGGGTTGGGTGGGGGGATTTAAAGGGGCCAGGTAAAGTTCCGCTTTAAGCTGTCCATTCGTTATACAATTTTCCTGTTCAATTTCCTTTAGTATTATTTATTTCAGGTACTTATATAGCGCCGTCAGTTTACACAGCACTTTACATATATATTATACATTCACATCAGTCCCTAACCCTCAAGGGGCGTACATTCTAAGGTCCCTAATTCCCCTCAAGGGGCGTACAATCTAAGGTCCCTAACCCTCAAGGGGCGTACAAATCTAAGGTCCCTAACCCTCAAGGGGCGTACAATCTAAAGGTCCCTAACCCTCAAGGGGCGTACAATCTAAGGTCCCTAACCCTCAAGGGGTGTGTACAATCTAAGGTCCCTAACTCACATTCATTCATACATACATATACTAGGGCCAATTTAGATGGGCCAATTAACCTAACCAGCATGTCTTTGGAGTGTGGGAGGAAACGGAAGTACCCGGAAGGAAACCCACGCAGGCACAGGAGGAGAACATGCAAACTCCAGCCAGGTGGTGCCAATGGTTGGGATTTGAACCAACGACCCTAGTACTGCCAGGCGGAAGTGTTTAGTCTGACCTCCATGTTGTATGGTTTTGGTAAATCCTAAAGGAAATTGTATAATGTAACCCTGGACAGCTTTAGTCTTATCGTTCGCCCCCATTGAACAGTGTGGAGAAAGACACGCTGGTTTCTATTCTTTTCCTTGTTTTGCTCACAATCTCCCCCACGAAATTCAGTTCTCTCCAGGGCCATCACACAGGCCGAATGAATTCTTTCACCCTCCTACGGGTAAATAAAACCATTTGAAGTCTGGCTCAGAGACCGCGACCCCTTCATTGTAGCTGTGAAGTAAGCAAAACTAGCTGAAAAATGTCACCGTGCAATCCAGGAGAAATATGGGATGATAACGAAGTGATGCAAATCGGAGAGTGGATGAATCTTCATACTCCGGCCTTCCTCCCAGTCTTGCACAGTTATACCGGCTCCTCTCACTGGACACTGAAATGGCTTCCTCTAATTCCACTGCACACTGTGAGCTTCTCACAATTGCATTCGAAAGCTAAAATAAATTGAAATAACTCAAGCGCCTACTATAGTGAAAATGATAACAAAAATTAAAAGTATAAATACAGTAGCACTAGTGTACACAACCCATGTCTCTCAGTGGGGGGCAAATTATACAGATCACCATTGTGAAGTGAAAAAATGCAGCGCTACATGAAACAATGTCACAATCCATTATATATATATATATATATATATATATATATATATATACTATATAATATGGAATAAATATTTATAGAAGATTAAAATAGTTGAGGGGAAAAAAAAATATATATATATTCTATACACACACAAAACTTAAAAAATATTTTAAGTATGAATCAAACGAGTCATTCAAAAACTCAAGTTCAATCAAAGTGTTCATTCAGTGAACCCTCTTTTGGATAACGAAAAATATGTGCATCTGTCATCAATTCCCGTGCAAAGTCTTCCTCCACCATATATCTGCTCACCTCACACAGTGTGACGCACATTATACAATGTTACGGTCTAACTGCCCTTTTGGTCCCATATGGACTCAGAAGATCAGCTTGCTGAATGAAGACTCTAAAGTAATCTCCCTCCTGATAAGCATCTTTGTATCAGCGTATTCCTCATTAAAAAGAACTCCACATAGTGCTTTATCCTTTTATTCATCAATTAAACAAAAAATACTCACGTTCCGGAGGTCTATTTTGCACCAGGTATGATGAAGATCCAGTGATGTGCTGATTAGACACTAGATGGCAGTATCATCTCAGCAGCAGAGTCCTGCACATGCTCAAAACCAGATTCCATCCGTATTGTAATGCAAGGCAAAGCACGGGGCCACTTTGAATGCTATTGCCTGCTGTAATGTCGTTCCAAGAGCTGTTTACAGAGTACTACAACCGCTATCTCCCCCGATGAATGGCAACATTGTGACGTCATCCGCACACTCCGACACATTTCATCATAAGTCAAGGTATCCCCTTGATAAAGTCACGTGACTAAGGATAAAATGCGTTGGAGAGGAGTGTGCAGATGACGTCAACAACGTTACCATTCATCGGGACAGCGGTTGTAATACTCTACAAATGGCTCTTTGGAATGAGATTGTAGCAGACAATAGCATTCACAAAGTGGCCCCGTGCTTTGCCTTGCATTACAATAGGGATGGTGTCTGGTTTGAGCATGTGCAGGACTCTGCTGCTGAGATGATACTGCCATCCAGTGTCTAATCAGCACATCACTGGATCTTCATCATACCTGGTGCAAAATACACCTCCGGAACGTGAGTGTACTTCTTATGTTTTTAATTGATGAATGAATAAAAGGATAAAGCACTATGTGGAGTTCCTTTTTTTTTTTTTTTTTTTTTTTTATTGAGGAATACGGCTGATACAAAGACGCTTATCAGGAGGGAGATTACTTTTGGAGTCTTCATTCAGCAAGCTGATCTTCTGAGTCCATATGGGACCAAAGTGCAGTTAGACTGTAAACATTGTATAATGTGAGGTGAGCAGATATATGGTGGAGGTCTTTGTACGTGAATTTGACAGACGCACATTTATTTTGTTATCCAAAGGAGGGTTCACTGAACACTTCTTTTTTTTTTTTTTTTTTTTTTTTTTTGATTGAACTTGCGTTTTTGAATGACTTTTGTTTTGATTTCATACTTAAATAAATATATTTATATAATTTTCTTTTTTAGATTTGAAGCTGCTGCAAGTAACAGAACCCACCTCATTTCCTTGCTGGAGGAATCCCGGCATAGTCTACCCTATAAAATTACGGACAGTCTTGAGGCAACACCCCATTCTATAATGTGAAGAACTATTCTAATGGTTTCATATAATGCAGCAAACATCCACACATGTAGGATGCCCAATGCTAGAGGGGATTTATTCCTCCAAAGCAATACACTTTTACACACTGGTACTGACTAGTATTCCAATGTTTCTCCTCTCCCTCAGTTTTTCTCCATCACTGAGCTAATGTGAATCCCAGCATTGATGGAGAGAGACAGGGGAGGGTCAAACTAGGATATGATGTGCAGGCAGCTGACATCCTCCTTAATCAACTGATGTCATTGCTTGTCAGGACTTCTGCGGCTAGAAGTCGTAATGGTGCACAATGGAAAACTGTGGCTTTGTGTAACTAAAAGGCAGGCTTGTTCCACCCTCTGGCTTATATACAAGTTTTGGTAATTTTTAGAAAAATTTGCCAAGGCACCCCTGAAAGAACCTCAGGCTACCCCAGGGTGCCTGGGCACCCTGGTTGAGAAAGGCTGGTCTAGCCTGCCTGACTGTCCCAGACCCACCCCTTTCTTTAAACTTCTTTTAATCATGGAGGTTCAGCATCACATGTGGGTGCTACTCAGAGTATTGTCGTGGTAATGAGACTCCATGAGCTAAGCAGTGACATTTGAAGATGTGAGATGCTCCTCTGGATTGAAGTCTATTCATAAACCGTTCTTGTGCCCAGGTAACCCTCCGTTCAGCGAGGCTCCGTATTTCGCAGACCAATCTGGAGTTTTCGAATACTTCACAAACATCTCGGACCCCGGAGAGCACACGTTCACCTTCCGGCAGGTGGTCACTCAGCGTCCCATCACCTGGGCGTCTGACGCCCCTCAAGCCATAAGCGTCATTGGAGACTTCACTTGGTGAGTGCCTGCCGCCCTGTCGGTTTTAATTGCTGTCAGTGTCCCATTGTGGGGAATTCAAAGTAGAATACCTACCAAGAGCCGGCCATACATGCTGCTTTTTTTCTTCTTCTTTTTTTTTTTTTTTTTTTTTTTTTTTTTTCTGTTCAACCAGAGGGTTAAACGAAACAAAAAGTGCTGAGCTATTGTATGCTGACAGCGGGAAGACGTCCCACCATCAGAATGCAATGATCTGTGTTGCTGGCTATAGTTGGCGGCACGGATCATTCGACAAAAGCCCAGTAGGCTGTTCACAAGTTGATTGACTTGTATAGTATCAGCCTGTCCATACATGGATCAAAATTGGAACTGACCGAAATTCGATCCACTTATATGGCCTACTTAACATTAGCCTCCTAACACCTATGCCAACTAACTTGTGTGTGTCTGTGTGTTTAAAAAAAACAACAAAATATATACAGTAATACTTCGGTTTACAAATTTAATTCGTTCTGCAGGACTTTTCTTATAGCAAAAAAATTCGTAAACAAACACTTTCCCATAGGAGTGCATTGAAAACCAATTAATCTGTTCCGAAGGTCAGAAAAACAGTAAACACTACTAAAATATCGCATGAGTTCCTTTATTCACTCATACGGTGTTTTTAGTGTTGACAACCATGTGTTAATGTTTCAGCTGTCAGTGGGGGTTCCCCACTGATAGCTGAATGTAAAAGAATTGCCGGCAATTAAAAAAAAAAAAAAAGGCGTGGGGTTCCCCTTCCTATCCATACCAAGTCCCTCCCTCCCCAAAATCCATACCAGACCCTTATCCGAGAATGCAGCCCAGCAGGTCAAGAAAGGGGGGAGACTAGCGAGCGTCCCCCCTCCTGAACCATACCAGGCCACATGCCCTCAACATCGGGGGGGTGCTTTTGGAGCAGGGCAACCCCCCCCCCTTCAAAACACCTTGTCCCCATATTGATGGACAAGGACCTCTTCCCCACAACCCTGGCCGGTGGTTGTGGGGGTCTGCGGGCAGGGGGCTTATCGGAAATCCCCCTTCAACCCCCCCCATGTTAATGAGGATGGGGTACATGGTACCCCATCCTCATACACAAAGTGTAGTGTAATAAAAGACAGGACACGGTCTTTGACAAGTTCCTTTAAACAAAAGAATGTCCCCTGCAGTAGATCCAATGTCAATTGCATGTCAGCCACCTCCCTGAAAAAAAGAAGGGGGGGGAAAAAAAAAGTTCTGTTCCCGATGCTGGCTGCCAGCCCTCTGCCTCTGAGCTGGCTTGACTGTTCTTAAATATGTAAGGAACAGGGCCACCTGGGACATCACGCATGTGACCCACCCCATGTGACATCAATGATGTCACAAGGGGCGGAGTCAATTTTTAGAGCTTTTTTTTCACACCAGCTTTGGTGTGTGTGTGTGTGTGTGTGTGTGTGCGTTCGTGTGTGTGTGCGTGCGTGCTGTTCGTGCGCCCCCAGAACCGCTCAAAAATGCTCTGCCTTTTGCAGATGTGTACGGGTGCCATTAATTCCTAATGACACCCCCAAGCATCTAGTAAATTTGTGTACGTTTGCATCCTTTAAAAACTGCATGGTACAGAGGTACTATGCATTTTAGTGGGACATGATTTAAAAAAAATAATTCCAGCACCTTTTTTTTGCATGTTTCACACCCATTGAGCAGCCTATTAAAAAAACCCCAAAAAATGAAACCTTTGCAATGCACAGGAACTCGGAGAAAAACCGCTTGGACACTGATATAGTGCAGGTAATATGACCTGCTGCACGCAATACCACTGGCAGCCAGGTGAGAGCTCTGTATATACAGCTTCTGCCGTTCACATTTCTTTGTATTCTGGTTTGTAGGTCCAACGTTGCTGTAACCTGCGACATTTACATTGAGACCCCGGACACGGGCAGTGTCTTCATTGCAGCCAGAGTGAATCAAGGTGGATCAGACACCTATGTGGCCAAAGGGATCTATTTCTGGGTGTTGGCCGACGGCACTTATAAAGTCACCGGAGACTTGCGTAAGTATGCATTTAGGGGAGGAGCTTTAACAGGCATGGGACGGCGCATGCATTGCTTAGAGAGGCGTGCCGGGTCATCCCAGAGACCTAAACCATTCTCTAATCTGAGCCAGTTTCTAAAATAACATGACGATGTACATACCAGGGAGACCCATTTTATTACTGCTGTCTGCAGCCTTGTTACTGGCTCATCCTCCCTACCACTTGTCCTGAAGTCGGACCATGTCCAGCTAATACTATAACCATGAATGTCCATTTGGTTCCATTTTTTTTGTGCATAGTGGTGGGTCGATGGCTTGTGAACCCGAATATGATGAATATCATTTCTGTCACATACTGACGGTTATATTGGTCCAAGCTGGAACAATGGAACTATGGAAAAAATATCCCTACCTGGAATTCTTCTTTAACCCCCCTCACCCCCCCCAGAGGATTCCCCTTCCCTTTCCCCCCCCCCCCCCACCTTTCTGACCAGGCTGTTGTTTGCGCTAGGGCGCTGTTACTTTAATTGACAATTGTGCGGTCCTGCAACACTGCACCCAAATTAAATTTACGTCCTTTTTTTTTGTTTTTTTTTTTTTTTTTTTTTGTCCCCCACAAATAGCTTTCTTTTGGGTATTTGATCACTGGGTTTTTTATTATATGAAGGAAAACAGACATTTCTGCTATAAAATATTTCCAATATAAAAGTTAAAAACAAACAAAACAAATTTCTTCATAAATTCTGTCAAATTCTTCATACATGTCTTTGGTAAAGAAGAAGAGAAAAAAAAAACCCACCACATAAGTGTAAACACTATTATTTTTACACAAACCAATAAATATACAAAGTGTATGTATATGTGTGTGTACACACACACACACACACACACACACACACACTCACACACACACACACGTCCATATATATTTGGACACAGGCACCATTTTTTGATTTTTCAGGTATTTACCCAACATATTTAAAGCTATAGTTCTATAATGGTTATGAGCGGACAGTGCGCACTCTCAGGTGTAATTTGAGGGTATGTACAGCCAGATTAGAGGGAAGGGTTTAGGAATTACAGCTCTTAAGAGTAGCCATCCCGCCTTTTTCAAGGGACTAAAAGTAATTGGACAATTGAATCAAAAGCTGTTTCATGGCCAGGTGTGGGCTACTCCATTATTTCTTCATCTGTTAAGCAGGTAGTTGATTCTAAGTGTGGTATTTGCATTTGGAATCTATTGCTGTGAACCTTCATCATGTGTTCAAAGAAGCTGTCCATGCAAGTGAAACAGGCCATTGTAAGGCTTCAAAACCGAAACAAATCCATCAGAGAGATAGCAGCAACATTAGGCGTGGCCAAATCAACAGTTTGGTCCATTCTGAGGAAAGAAGAACGCACTGGTGAGCGCAGCAACATAAAAGGCATGGATGTCCATGGAAGACAACAGTGGTGGATGATCGCAGGATCCGCTCTATGGTAAAGGAAAACCCATTCACAACATCCAGACAAGTGAAGGGCACTCTCCAGGAGGTGGGCGTATCATTGTCAAAGTCTACAATCAAGAGAAGACTTCACGAGAGCAAATACAGAGGGTTCACCACAAGGTACAAACCATTCATAAGCCTGAAGAATAGAAAAGCCAGAATAGAAAAGCCAGAATAGACTTTGCCAAAAAAAATCTAAAAAAGCCAGACCAGTTCTGGAAAAGCATTCTTTGGACGGATGAAACTAAGATGAATCTGTACCAGAATGACGGGAAGAAAAAAGTGTGGAGAAGGCTTGGAACAGCTCATGATCCAAAGCACACAGCGTCATCTGTAAAACATGGAAGGAGGTGGATGGCATGGGTGGAGGCAGTGTGATGGCATGGGCATGCATGGCTTCCAGTGGTACTGGGTCATTGGTGTTTATTGATCATGTGACAGAAGCAGCCGGATGAATTCCGCAGTGTTCACAGATATACTGTCAGCCAGATTCAGCCAAAAGCAGCAAAGTTGATTGGACGGCGCTTCACAGTACAGATGGACAAGGATCCAAAACACACTGCAAAAGCAACCCAGAGCTTTTGAAGAAAAGTGGAATATTCTGTAATGGCCAAGTCAATGACCTGATCTCCACCCCATTGAGCATGCATTTCACTTGCTGAAGCAAAACTAAAGGCAGAAAGACCCACAAACAAAGAACAACTGAAGACAGATGCAGTTAGAGCCTGGCAAAGCATCAGAAAGGAGGAAACCCAGTCTTTGGTCATGTCCATGGGTTCCAGACTTCAGGCAGTCATTGCCAGTAAAGGATTCCCAACAAAATATTACAAATTAACATTTATAATTTAAATTATATTCAATGTTCAATTACTTTTGGGACCTTGAAAAAGGGGGGAGGGTTTAGAAATTTACAGCTCTTAAGAGTAGCCATCCCCCAATGTGGCTGCACATACCCTCAAATTAAACCTGACCGTGTGCGCACTTTCAGCCTGATATCCATTATAGAACTATAGCTTGAATATGTTTTGGTAAATACCTGAAAAAAACCTAAAATTCTTTGTGTGTTATAAATTACACACACGCCACACTCACTGGCCTTTTTATTAGGTCCACCTGTTAATTGCTTGGTAACACAATTTGCTAATCAGGCCAATCACTTGGCAGCAACTCAAGGCATCCCAGTAGATCATCAGTTTTTGAAATACTCAGACCAGTCCCATATGGCAACCAACAACCATGCCATGTTCAAAATCACTTAAATCCCCTTTCTTCCCCATTCTGATGCCTGTTTGAACTTCAAAGTCTTCTTCACCCCGGCTCTAGATGCCTAAATGCATTGAGTTGCTGCCACGTGATTGGCTGATTAGCAATTGGTGTTACCAAGCAATTGAACAGTTGTACCTAATTAAGTGGCCGGTGAGTGTATTTATATTAGATTTTTCATTTGTTTTAGTTATTTTTTTATTCTACTAATGGTGGTTACATAGTTAGTCTGGCTGAAAAAAAAGACAAAATTCCATCCAGTTCAACCATAAAAAAAAAAAAAAGTTACAATCCTATACCCACAGTTGATCCAGAGGAAGGCCAAAAAAAACCCAGCAAAGCACTATCCAATTTGCTCCTGCGGGGAAAAAAAATTCCTGCTGGGAAAAAAAAAATATTCTGTGATGATGGTAGTACAGCAATCTTCCTATTATATGTTCACCCCCCACCCTTCCCCCCTCCAGAACATACCAGTCAGCGCTCTCACCCATTGGCTGATCAGATGCCGATCGGCATGGACCTTTTTCAGTCATACCCCCTTGGGACAAAAAGCCGGTCGAACGGCCAGCTTCTGTCGGCCTGGCAGCCGTACACATGAACTGAATGTTAGCCGGTTTCTATTGGATCAGCCGATGCCACGCGATATTCAGGAGCCAATAATAAAATCTGAAATTCCCCACTAGGCCGGCTCTATTGCGTCTCTTGCGATTGGTTGCGTCTCTTGTGGCGATTGCGCACCCTAATTGTAAGTTTTATTTACAGTCGGGAAGATCGTCCTGATGAAGGGGCTTTCTGGTGTCCGTGCCAGGACGTGGCACACGCTGACCCTTAACGTGGAGGTAAGTCGATGACCATCTGTGTGGACGGGCATTTTTACGGATGTGTGCTTTGGATTTTCGGTTTTTGTAAACCGAAAATATCATCACGATCCCCCAGCCTGCTCTTCTAGTGCCTGCTGATCTGTGTCGGTGGTGGGGTGTTGTGTCGGATCTGTCACTGTGTGGGATCGCTCAGTTCAGCTGCCTGCTGTCAGTGTTTTTACCTCCCCCATTGCCTGGGGAATTCCAGCCGGGGATCTGTCAGTGTGGATCCATCATCCTCCACTCACTGCAACTGTCACCCTGCCACTGCCAGCCCCAGATACAGTCCATCCGGGACACTGTTGTGTCTTAATATTGCTGCTGGTGGCATCTTATGGCACTTATTTTTTGCAAATTAAAAGAAATTTTGCATTTTTCATGTGGTGTGATTTAAAATTTTCTAGTGGGTTTTTTTTTTTTTTTTTTTTTTTTTTTATATTTTTTGGGGGGGAGGCACAAGTGGCCTAGGGCACAAAACAGTCTAGCATCGGCCCTGCCTACAGGGGGTGAGGTACACCGGGAACCCCCTGCCTCCCCTTCCTGGGTCTCCTGCATGTAATCGAGAACGACCCCATTCGCAGGTGTGACTAGGGTCTAATGACTGGCGTAATTAGAAATGGGTCAAAAAAAAAGGGGATAGTCCCCTTTTTTTTTTTTTTTTTTTTGTTTTTTTTTAAAGTTTTTTTTTTTTTTTGTTTTGTTTTTGTACACCTCAGACATGAAATGGGAAAAAGCATATCCCCCTGTAGTGTGTGCTTGTCTCAATCCAGAGCACGAAGTGTCATTTTTGTCTGCTGCCTCCTTCCTCTGACTTTTCCTGACACCAAGAGAAAAATGGTGACAGGGGAGGGACCCTCCAGCCCACAGCCTGTGATTGACAGCCTCAGCTCTGTTCCTGTGAGCTGTGTGGAAGGAGGGGGGGGAGTGTCACTTCCCTCCAATCAGCTCTCAGAGCTCCTTCACTAATGGAACGTCCGCTCCCTGCCCCCTGTTTTTCAGAGCTGAGTTCCTGTGTAAATTCTGTACTTTGAATGGATGTACAGATGACGGCAGATAAACAGGTACTACTTATGTAGGAGGATTTGTTTCATCTCCGTGTACCACCTGAGGCCAGTCACTTCACTGGGTATATGGGAGGGTTTACACCCATGGAATTCTACTAAGCTTTTTTTTTTAGCAGATCCTGTGGCCAGACATGGAATAACTGTCTCTCCTTTTTTTTTTTTTTTTTTTTTTTTTTTTTTTTCCTTTTTCCCCTCCAGGGTTCCAGTGCTTACGGCCTCCTGAACGGTAATCCCTTGTGGAAAGGCAAAATTACGGTGGGACCGGCTCGTGGCTGGGCCGCTATAGGGACCGGTCATTTGAGTTTGCACAGTTTGATAACTTTATGATCAAAGCCACAGTTCTGTAACCTCTGAACGGCGTCCGGCGACCTGATTGTAGCACTGACCGCGGCTGTACTGTGAACGAAGGGGGAGGGGCGCTTCTCACACACTCCAATTGTGTCTGTAGGGGACGTAGCACCAGGGTGGTTGCTGCAAACATGGACTGCATTCTACGACGGCGATGGATATGGCGGTACGGTTCGGAGACATTTACACTGTATAGACTTGAATTCTGGTTTTCAGAGATGTGTCTCCTTCTCTGGGTTTTTTTTGCACTTAATAATTTTTTTCTTTGGAAAAAAAAAAAAACTTGCAGGCACTCTATTCCTACAATCAATCATTCATGAATTAATTAATCAACTTAATTTCATTAATGGGGGAAAAAAATATATATATGCGTATGTTTGTTTAATTCATATAATATATATAGTTTAATTAAACATGCATATATAAAAACATTTTCTTAATTAATATATTTAAACATATATTTATTAAAAAAAAAAAATTTTCTTCCCATTAATGAAATTAAGTTGATTAATTCATGAATATGAATTTGGTTAAAAAAAGAGAAAAAATTTTATATATATATATATATATATATATATATATATATATATATATATATAAAATATATATATATAATATTTATTTTTTTTTTTTTTTCCACCAAATTCATATTCATGAATTAATTAGTTAATTAACTTAATTTCAATAATGGGAAAAAACAAAATGTTGGATGTATGTGTGTGTGTGTGTGTGTGTTTAATTAAACTGTATTAAAAATAAACTTTTTTTATTTATATATATATATATACAGAATGAATATATATATATTAATATATGTAATATATGTGCTTTAGGTTATTACGCAGAAATAACTGGAATTGAGATTATCATTTTCTAATGTCAGTTGATAAGTAATACTGGGGAGATCTGGACGACAAGCATGGATGTGAGACCGTAACAGCAAATATACGCCTGTTAGACCCCCAAAACAGGGTCCATTATATGGAAATTGTGTGATCCGGAATGATGTGAAAAAAATGCATCAGTGTGCGTCCACGTTAGATTGCAACTCCCCGTCAATATCACTGGGTGTAGGATGACTGAGGAGATCTGTATGATGACGAGAAGCTGTGAGGGGTTGAGCAGTGAGGGCCTTTCCTGGGATGAAAATCCGTTTATACATATTGTCTGTTTTAAAGTAGAATCTCAGCCTAAACCTAACTAGTCTTTTAAAAAAAAAAAAAAAAAAAAAATGCCACCACCCCACCATCATCAACACCATGACCACCACCCCCACCATCATCAACACCATGACCGCCACCCCCCCACCATCATCAACACCATGACCATGATTGAACCTGTGTAAGAAAGATATATTTTATATACTTACTTTTTTTTTTTTTTTTCTGCCCGCTCTGGTGTTCATGTGATCCCCTATGTCAGCCAGTGGCTGCTGCAGGGGAGAGGAGGGAGTGCCAACAATGGCTGGGAATTCTGGGAGTGGTGATGTCACCTGTAGGCTCCCATGTCCTACCTGTTGTTGGCACTCCCTCCTCTCCCCTGCAGCCACCATTGGGGGGGGGGGGGGGGGAAATTAACTGGACCGGACCAGAGCGGGCTGAAAGTGGGTAAGTACATGATCATTCTTACATGGGATAGTGACAATAGGTGTCGGGAGGGGGAAACATTTTGAAGACTTTCTAGGTTTAGGCTAGAATTCTACATTGGGCATTTGAAGCGCACAAGGTAGACGGCTTGTTTTATTCATTGTAAAGGGGATTATAATGGTTTTGTGTCAGTGGTTTGTTTTTTGTTTTTTTTTTTTCATTTACATGGTGCGCACAACTTATGTACAGAGATTTGTCTAGCACATGGCAGTAGGTGTTTGCCTTCAGACAGTCTCTCTCAGATTGAAATTACCTACAGCCCTATCTGCTCTATCTTCTTCTGCTGTCTCTGAATTTGGAGAAAACTATTGAGCTCTTTGAACTGGCTTTCTACAGCAGAATAGCTAAGAATAGCCAGGTGAACATGGAGAGAGGAGTCAGGGAGTGACACCTACTGGCTGGAAATGAAAGTTAAAAAAATGTACAATGTACCCCATTAAAAAAAAGTTTGTATTTAAGTCCTGAACATAACATCTTTGCAATTTTCCATTATACATTCCCGTCTTAAATATCACATTTGTTTGCTACCTCTTATTCTTCTTTCACTTTCTGCTAAATGGAACAAATATTGAAAGAAATGACTGTATTTATATTTAATAACTTCCTGTGTGCCTTTCTTCTTGTAAATCATTGATGATGATTAAAAAAATTACTAAATTGAACAGTTCTGTTGTGTTTTTTTTTCTTTTCTTTTCTTTTTTTTTTTTTTTTTTTTTTTTTTTTTTTATATAAAGGTCTGGCAATGGTTGGGCTTGACAAATTTTTGCTTTAAATCTTGGAGCCAGCTAAAAAAAAAATAGTTTTTTTGGTTTTTTTGTTTGTTTTTGTTTCTGTTTTTTTTTTTTTGTTTGTTTTTTTTTTTGTTTGTGTTTATATTGTTTTGTTTTTATTGTTTTTTTTTTTTTTTGTGGTTTTTTTTTTTTTTTTTTTTTTTTTTAGAGTACTGCAGGTTGTCAGGGCAAGGCATCTTTTGGGTGACAAGCTTCACGCGATGAGATTTGCCGCATGACAATCACGGCAAAGCCGCACCACGTTTTAGGCGCTGTTGAAAATTATGGCACCTGAACTTGCGTTTTGCAATCGCGATTCTGCCGTGATCCCAGGTGTGAATGGAGCAGCTCTGGTTCACGCGTGTTCGATTTTTGGATGTATTTTCAAACCCACAGATTTGCATGACAGGCTAGATAGTATGTGCTGCTATTGAGGGTGGCTCACACAGATGCAATCCACATGCGTCGTGTTTTGAATGCCATTAGAAAAAGGTTCCTGTGTGAGTTTGTAGCGGTGCGTTCCAGACTCACAAAGGATAGAATAGAGTGGCATGTGGAGAGAAGTGTTCCTATAGGATTGCGATTGATAGGAGTTTTTGCGCGGAAGTCGATGGGCGGCAATTTTTGCACGGAAGTCAATGGGCGGCGATTTTTGCACGGAAGTTGGTGGGAGGCTATTTTTGCACGGAAGTTGGTGGGAGGCTATTTTTGCACGGAAGTTGGTGGGAGGCGATTTTTGTACGGAAGTTGGTGGGAGGCGATTTTTGTACGGAAGTTGGTGGGAGGCTATTTTTGCACGGAAGTTGGTGGGAGGCGATTTTTGCACGGAAGTTGGTGGGAGGCGATTTTTGCACGGAAGTTGGTGGGAGGCGATTTTTGCACGGTAGTCGGTGGGAGGCGATTTTTGCACGGTAGTCGGTGGGAGGCGATTTTTGCACGGTAGTCGGTGGGAGGCGATTTTTGCACGGTAGTCGGTGGGAGGCGATTTTTTGCACGGTAGTCGGTGGGAGGCGATTTTTGCACGGTAGTCGGTGGGAGGCGATTTTTGCACGGAAGTCGGTAGGACACTATTATTTTTTTTTTTTTTTTTTTTTCTTTTCACAGAAGTCAGTGGGAGTGTGTGAAACCCAGGCACCAGGATGCAAATCTAGTTGTCATGGCGACCTGGGATTTGTCGAGTCCTGCATGCAGGAGTAAATGGCAGTTCATGGTAAGCCCATTGCCAGAAACTGATTAAAACTTTGACCCATTGTGTTCCTCTTAAATTTTTTTTCTTTTTTTTTTTAATATGCTACTTGGTACAACTGAAAATTCAGGTTTTTATTAATATTCTAGTGTGCAGGGTTTTAGACTTGAGGTGTGTGTGTGGTGTTTTTTTTTTTTTTTTTTTTTCTTGGGAGAGTGCATGTGACCAGCACAGGGCAATCAGCACTGTCCAGACAGAAGTCAGGGGTCCTGCATCTTCCTACAGGAGAATGAAAACTCCTACAAGCTGTAACCAGTGCTCAGCTGGACACTGATAGAAGTCACAAGACTGCTATATACTGCTGATGAGAAAAGGTATTTAGCAGTTTATATTTACTACAATGATTGCATTTTCATGTTCTGTGTACTGTAGGAGAGTGGATATAGTGAATGCGGGGTCCGGGGAGAGCGGATGTGGTGAGTGCGGGGGTCCGGGGAGAGCGGGTGGTGAGTGCGGGGTCCGGGGAGAGCGGATGTGGCGAGTGCGGGGTCCGGGGAGAGCGGATGTGGCGAGTGCGGGGTCCGGGGAGAGCGGATGTGGCGAGTGCGGGGTCCGGGGAGAGCGGATGTGGGTGAGTGCGGGGTCCGGGGAGAGCGGATGTGGTGAGTGCGGGGTCCGGGGAGAGCGGATTGTGGTGAGTGCGGGGTCCGGGGAGAGCGGATGTGGTGAGTGCGGGGTCCGGGGAGAGCGGATGTGGTGAGTGCGGGGTCCGGGGAGAGCGGATGTGTGTGAGTGCGGGGTCCGGGGAGAGCGGATGTGGTGAGTGCGGGGTCCGGGGAGAGCGGATGTGGTGAGTGCGGGGTCCGGGGAGACCGGATGTGGTGAATGCGGGGTCCGGGGAGACCGGATGTAGTGAATGCAGGGTCTGGGGTTTAGTAACACTTTAACGCATAATGTGCAGGAGCATTGTCATGGTGGAGAATCCACTTGTCAGGCCAGACTTCCAGTCTCTTCCTCTAAACAGATCCCTGTTCATTTTCCACATTTGAATTTGTCCTTTGCGTTTTTGACTGCCCACACTGCCCACTCTTGTGTCATCATGGACATCTTCCTGCACCCCTTTAAACTGTCTACGGCATTCAAAAACACTTGATTTCTTCTTGGAACGTCCACCATTACTGCTGTAACGGCTAAAATTTCACTCACATTTTTGCCAATTTTAACACAATATGATGTTAATCCGCTGCTTCAGATTCCTGTCACTCATTTTATGCAATTCAAACATGTGTGATGAAGTGTTCTCAATGGCGACCACTTCCTGTTATCTCACATATATATTCTTATTATTATAGCCAAATTTACCACCCTAACTCCTCCCACAGTTTTTACACTACATA